AAAGAATTTCTCTTCCATAGCATCACCATTAACTAGATTGGCCCGTAAGGAAGTAAGGTTTGTTTGGAGTGAAACTTACGAGAATGCTTTCTAAGAACTAAAGCTTAGATTGACCACCGCTCCAATTCTCATCATTCCGAAACGAGGCTTAAGTTATACGGTATATTGTGATGCTTCAAGAGAGGGGTTAGGATGTGTTCTAATGCAGGAGGGTAAAGTGGTAGCATATGGCTCGCGTCAACTGAAGACGCATGAAAGGAACTACCCGACACGACTTAGAACTAGCCGCTGTTGTTTTTGCCTTGAAGTTATGGAGACACTATCTGTATGGTGAAAAGTTAGAAGTCTTCTCCGACCATAAAAGCCTCAAATACCTATTCTCCCAAAAAGACTTGAATCGTCGCCAACGGAGATGGATGGAGTTTCTAGAGGACTATGATTTTGAAATACACTACCACCCCGGTAAAGCCAATGTAGTAGCGGATGCTTTGAGTAGAAAATCAGTAAGTACGATGGCTAGTCTAGCGATAAGGGAATGGAAGATGATGGAGGATGCCAATGAATTTGCTTTACAGCTTAGTGAATCTCCAGAAAAGGCTACCCTCTTCACTACCATCGCCCAACCTACCCTTGTTGCATGAGTAGTTGAAGCACAACTAGGTGATCCAGAAGTGGATGCAATTAAAGGGAGAATTCTTCAAGGGAAGGAAGAGAGGGGTTTAAATATTCATGCAGATTCTAGTGTTCGTTACCTCGACCGATTGTTTGTACCTAAATCTATGAGAAATGACGTTTTGAGGGACTTCCATCATTCCCGCCTAGCTGTGCATCCTAGAGGCACTAAAATGTACCATAACCTAAGCTGTCAATTTTGGTGGAGGGGTATGAAAAAGGATGTAGCCTCATTTGTGTCTAAGTGTTTGACATGTCAACAAGTTAAGGTTGAACACCAAAGACCAGCGGGATTGCTACAACCTCTTTCGATTGCTGAATGGAAGTGGGAACACATCAACATGGACTTTGTTTTTGGTCTTCCTAGAACAAAAAGAAGTAATGATGCAATATGGGTGATTATGGATAGACTTACTAAGTATGCTCACTTCCTCGCCATGAGCATGGGAGATTCCATAGAGTTTCTAGCTGAACTTTACATCCGTGAGATTGTTCGCATCCATGGGGTACCAGTGAGTATAGTGTCTAATAGAGACCTTCGTTTTACAACCAGGCTATGGTAGAGCCTTCAAAGTGCCTAAGGTACTTAACTGAATTTTAGTACTGCTTACCACCCCATACCAATGAGCAATCCGAACGTACTATTCAAATTATGGAAGACATGTTGAGGGCATGTGTACTAGATTTTAAAGGGTCTTCGGAGAAACATCTACCCTTAGTTGAATTTGCTTATAACAATAGCTACCAAGAAAACATCAAGATGGCACCTTTCGAGGCATTGTATGGGCATTCATATAGATCACCGGTAGGCTCACCCTTGCTAGGCTCAGATCTAGTTCGTGAAACTACCGAGAAAATAGCCCTCAATCGAAAAAGGTTGGTTACCGCTCAAAGCCGACAAAAGAGCTACGTAGATAGAAGAAGACGACCCTTATCTTTTGAAGTTAGTGACCATGTCTTTGTGAAGATATCTTGTAGAAAAGGGTTGATGAGATTTGGCCAGAGCGGAAAGCAATAACCTAGATTCATCGGCCCCTTTGATATCATTGAGCGGATTGGAGAAGTTGCATATCACCTTGCATTGCCACCACAACTCTTCGGGGTCCACAATGTATTTCACGTATCTATGCTTTGCAAGTATGAACCCGATCCCTCTCATATATTAAATTGGACGGAGATTGAGATAGACGAAGATGTGTCTTATGAAGAAAAACCACTCCAAATCTCAGATACAAGAGATCACGTTTTGAGGGGTAAAATAAATCCCTTAGTTAAAGTGTTATGGCGCCATCACAGTGTGGAGGAAGCTACATGGGAACATGAAGCAGAGATTCGCGAGAAATACCCCGACTTATTTTCTAAATTATGATGTATTTGTTTGTTGTTGTTTTTTTTGCTTGATGAATTGGGCATGAGCCAAAACCTTCTATTATTTCCTTGTCTTGGAGTCAAATTGATATATATGTTTTGCTTGGTTATGAGTTTGTTGTGGATTGAATAAATATGATATTGTTGCCAAACCTTGTCATCATGGTGGGGATGGATATTATTTCGAGGGCAAAAATTCCTAAGGTGGGGAAGTTGTAACACTTGGGTGTTTTAATCTATTGGAAGGTGTGTTTAATATCTTTATTTTTGTTTTGGGAGTCTTTGGAGTTGTATATTGGTTTCGAAGGAGTACAATCCGATTTAAACTCGTTGGGTTTGTTCGTTCACGTTTGTTCTTGTCAAAAGTTCCTTGGAAACTTAGAAATTTTGCCTTGTGTAATTGAGGTGGCGGATCGACAACTTCCGTTTAATTTTGCCCTGTTGGAAATGTCGGGTTTTGACGTAATTCTCGGTGTGGATTGGTTGTTTACTTACCGGGCGACCATAGATTGTTATCGAGAGAGAGTTACGGTGTGCACTGCAAGCAGTGATCGTTTCACATTTCTGGGAGACAAGTACGGTAGATCCTTACCCTCCTTACACTATCCACGTGGCCGGGGCCAGTTTAATTCTCTTTTAACCTCCTTTTTGGATGATGGAAGTGGTGTACTTCCGGGGTGAATTTCCAAAGCTAGTATGTGAATACCTCGATGTCTTTCCTGACGATCTTACAGAATTACCTCCTCATAGGGAAGTAGAGTTCACCATAGACTTGCTTCCGTGTACGACACCTATCTCCTTATCGCCGTACAGATTTGCCCCAGCTGAATTGATGGTTCTGAAGGAACAGTTGCAAGAGTTACTTATAAGAGCTTTATACACCCTAGCACCTCACCTTGGGGAGCCTCGACATTGTTTGCAAAGAAGAAGGACGGATCCTTGAGATTGTGTATAGATTATCGTAAATTGAATCAAGCCACAGTCAAGAATAAATACCCCTTGCCCAGGATAGATGATCTCTTCGATCAACTTAAAGGCTCTCGTTGTTTCTCCAAGATAGATTTAAGGTCGGGTTGTCACCAAATTCGAGTTAGAGAGGAGGACATTCCCAAAACTGCTTTTCGTACCCGATATGGTCATTACGAGTTCTTGGCTATGCCCTTTGGGTTGACTAACGCTCCAGCCACATTCATGGATTTAATGAATAGGGTCTTTCGGGAGTTTCTTGATAAATTTGTGGTCGTCTTTGTAGATGATATTCTTATTTATTCACCTTCCGAAGAGGAGCATGAAGGACATCTTCGTACTATCTTGCAACTTCTTAGGGAGCATCATTTGTACGCAAAATATGAGAAGTGTGAATTCTGGCTTTCCGAAATGAAGTTCTTGGGTCACTTAGTTTCGGAAGACGGAGTTCTGGTGGATTCTTCAAAAATAGAACCTGTGCAGAATTGGGAGCGAACGCCTCAGAAGTTCGTAGCTTTCTGGGCTTAGCCGGTTACTATCGTCGATTTGTAAAGAATTTCTCTTCCATAGCATCACCATTAACTAGATTGACCCGTAAGGAAGTAAGGTTTGTTTGGAGCGAAACTTACGAGAATGCTTTCTGAGAACTAAAGCTTAGATTGACCACCGCTCCAATTCTCATCATTCCGGAACGAGGCTTAAGTTATACGGTATATTGTGATGCTTCAAGAGAGGGGTTAGGATGTGTTCTACTGCAGGAGGGTAAAGTGGTAGCATATGGCTCGCGTCAACTGAAGACGCATGAAAGGAACTACCCGACACGACTTAGAACTAGCCGCTGTTGTTTTTGCCTTGAAGTTATGGAGACACTATCTGTATGGTGAAAGTTTGAAGTCTTCTCCGACCATAAAAGCCTCAAATACCTATTCTCCCAGAAAGACTTGAATCTTCACCAACGGAGATGGATGGAGTTTCTAGAGGACTATGATTTTGAAATACACTACCACCCGGGTAAAGCCAATGTAGTATAAAAGCCTCAAATACCTATTCTCCCAGAAAGACTTGAATCTTTGCCAACGGAGATGGATGGAGTTTCTAGAGGACTATGATTTTGAAATACACTACCACCCCGGTAAAGCCAATGTAGTAGCGGATGCTTTGAGTAGAAAATCGGTAAGTACAATGGCTAGTCTAGCGATAAGGGAATGGAAGATGATGGAGGATGCCAATGAATTTGCTTTACAGCTTAGTGAATCTCCAGAAAAGGCTACCCTCTTCACTACCATCGCCCAACCTACCCTTGTTGCATGAGTAGTTGAAGCACAACTAGGTGATCCAGAAGTGGATGCAATTAAAAGGAGAATTCTTCAAGGGAAGGAAGAAAGGGGTTTAAATATTCATGCAGATTCTAGTGTTCGTTACCTCGACCGATTGTTTGTGCTGAATCTATGAGAAATGAAGTTTTGAGGGACTTCCATCATTCCCGCCTAGCTGTGCATCCCAGAGGCACTAAAATGTACCATAACCTAAGCTGTCAATTTTGGTGGAAGGGTATGAAAAATGATGTAGCCTCATTTGTGTCTGAGTGTTTGACATGTCAACAAGTTAAGGTTGAACACCACAGAGTAGTTGGATTGCAACAACCTCTTTCCGATTGCTGAATGGAAGTGGGAACACATCAACATGGACTTTGTTTCTGGTCTTCCTAGAACAAAAAGAAGTAATGATGCAATATGGGTGATTGTGGATAGATTTATTAAGTCCGCTCACTTCCTCGCCATGAGCATGGGAGATTCCATAGAGTTTCTAGTTGAACTTTAAATCCGTGAGATTGTTCGCATCCATGGGGTACCAGTGAGTATAGTGTCTGATAGAGACCCTCGCTTTACAGCTAGGCTATGGTAGAGCCTTCAAAGTGCCTTAGGTACTCAACTGAATTTTAGTACTGCTTACCACCCCATACCGACGAGCAATCCGAACGTACTATTCAAATTATGGAAGACATGTTGAGGGCATGTGTACTAGATTTTAAAGGGTCTTGGGAGAAACATCTACCCTTAGTTGAATTTGCTTATAACAATAGCTACCAAGAAAGCATCGAGATGGCACCTTTCGAGGCATTGTATGGGCATTCGTGTAGATCACCGGTATGTTGGACTGAAGTGGGAGATTCACCCTTGCTAGGCTCAGATCTAGTTCGTAAAACTACCGAGAAAATAGCCCTCATTCGAAAAAGGTTAGTTACCGCTCAAAGCCGACAAAAGAGCTACGTAGATAGAAGAAGACGACCCTTATCCTTTGAAGTTAGTGACCATGTCTTTGTGAAGATATCTTGTAGAAAAGGGTTGATGAGATTTGGCCAGAGCGAAAAGCAATCACCTAGATTCATCGGCCCCTTTGATATCATTGAGCGGATTGGAGAAGTTGCATATCGCCTTGCATTGCCACCACAACTCTCCGGGGTCCACAATGTATTTCACGTATCTATGCTTCGCAAGTATGAACCCGATCCCTCTCATATATTAAATTGGACGGAGATTGAGATAGACGAAGATGTGTCTTATGAAGAAAAACCACTCCAAATCTTAGATACAAGAGATCAAGTTTTGAGGGGTAAAATAAATCCCTTAGTTAAAGTGTTATGGCGCCATCACAGTGTGGAGGAAGCTGCATGGGAACATGAAGCGGAGATTCGTGAGAAATACCCCGACTTATTTTCTAAATTGTGATGTATTTGTTTGTTGTTGTTTTTTTTGCTTGATGAATTGGGCATGAGCCAAAACCTTCTATTATTTCCTTGTCATGGAGTCAAATTGATATATATGTTTTGCTTGGTTATGAGTTTGTTGTGGATTGAATAAATATGATATTGTTGCCAAACCTTGTCATCATGGTGGGGATGGATATTATTTCGAGGGCAAAAATTCCTAAGGTGGGGAAGTTGTAACACTTGGGTGTTTTAATCTATTGGAAGGTGTGTTTAATATCTTTATTTTTGTTTTGGGAGTCTTTGGAGTTGTATATTGGTTTCGAAGGAGTACAATCCGATTTAAACTCGTTGGGTTTGTTCGTTCACGTTTGTTCTTGTCAAAAGTTCCTTGGAAACTTAGAAATTTTGCCTTGGGGTCGACACTAGCTTTCGTAAGGGTTGACCCTTGCATGTTGTAACGTTTTTGGAAGTGTTGCTGGAAAATAGGGTAGACACCAGTCTGGGGAGGGTCGACCCTCTTATGTTGCAGAATTTCTGTGTTAGTTGCTGGAAAATAGGGTCGACCCCCTCCTGCCAAAGGGTCGACCCCCTTGCTTGTTGCTAGATTGTCTTTTCTACCTAAAGGGTCGACCCCCTTGCCCGAAGGGTCGACCCCTGTATGTTTTTTTCAGAATTTTGGGGTTTGAATGGGCCCTACTTTTGGGGGTTTTTGGACTTATCTTTTTTCATTGACCTTAGGGCTAGTTTCTATTATTATAAATAGACCTAAACCACACCTCTCTCATAATTTTCTCCTCTTTTTCCTCTCAAAACCGAGAGTCTCTCTCTCTCTTTCTCTAAAAAACTCACTTTTTCCACTTCAATCCTTAGATCTACACTCTTAGAGGTGTCTTCTCACCTTGATCCTTTGAGATAACTTGAAGATCTTGTCAAGGGCTTTCTATTGGTCTGAGAAGTTTGTGGCTTCGTCAACCTTGAGTTTGTCGAGTTTTCTTTCTCATGACTTGAGGTAGGGACACTTTTACCTTAGTATTTCTTTGTTTTGAAGGACTTTCATGGTATGATTATGATTTGTGAGTTAATTGGAGAGTATTGTTGGATCAATCTCATGTTTTACATAAATAAACCATTTTACTTGACTCTTGCTTGAGATTCCTTTACTCACTCTTTTCAAAACATGTATATAAATGTTATTACAAGTCATATCTATAATAGAGGAGAAAAACCCCCCAAAATGTGGTAAAACCCTAGATTCTCCATTTGAGTTAAAAACACCACATTAAATGGGGAATTTCCTTGATTCATGAAATATTGTGAAAAATAATAGATAAACGATGTGGATGTTGATATAGTAAAAGAATTTGTGGTTTGGATGTTATTTGTTTTCCTTAAATCTTGTGTTGTATTCAACCCTTGGGTAATGTTGGATGATTGTTGATGGAATAAAATATGAATGAATTATTAATTGTGCATGAGTCCGAGTAAGAGTCGATTGTCCAAATGTGGTGTTGTGTTGGTACCCGCGCGGGGAGTTTAAAAAGGTGCCCAAATGCCCTGTCTAGGCTTATCGCTGGATGAATGTAGGAAAAATATTTTTGGGTGTCCACACAGTCCTGCTGTATGATAGCCGGCAAGAGTGGAAAAATGGATGGTTTTCTTTGGGGTGCCCACTCCCTACTGTATAATAGCCGGCAAATGTGGGGGTGGTTTTAAAAACAAAAGTAAAGGGTGTTTTAAATTGGATGTTGATATAGTAAAAGAATTTGTGGTTTGGATGATTGTTGCGTTCTATGGTTGTGAATGTTTGATTGTTGTGCTTGGTGACACGAATAGTCACTGTTATTATTTGGTTGTTATGGATTTGTATGTTTGTTAAGGATTATATGTAAAGATAAATTTCCATGTAATGTTTGGTCGCAAAGATACTATAATCTTATTCAAAGGATTAAATACTTGGTTAAATGTGTTCCTACTGGGCATATAGCTCAACCCTATCTTATCTTTTTCAGGAAATGATAGAGTTCCACCTCCCTGAAGGGTTGGTCAAGCAATAGCTCCTTTTTTGGAAAAGTTGATCCATGTGTATTTTGTTATTTTGAATTGAAATTTTTGTAACAAGACTATTAATTATTTTCTTGTAATTGTACGCCTAGAGGCTTATATTTTGTAAGGTCACCTAGTTCATTGAACTGGAATACAAATTCTGAACATTATGGGAATGTATACGGTGAATTGTAACCTCTTATCTCTTAGTTCAATGAGAATGTGGACTTTTTGGGTATATTGTTGTATTTTTTTGGGCATATTCTTGTAGGAAAATTTCAGGGTGTTACATGATTGGTTATGTTAGGTCCCTTTGTGTTGCCAATTCCACGAACAAACATTATATCGTGTTGTAACGTTATCTGGAAATTTGGCTTCCTCGCTCGAGTGAAGGAAGTCTGGCTCGAGCAAAGAAACCTTGGTCCCAGTAATTTTCACTGTCTACAAAAATACTGAGAAGCGTTATTGTGCACTCGAACGGACCTTTCGGTAGCTCTAGCGAAGACACTTAATGTAATGCACGCATATTCGTCTTGTCGCTCGAGTGCCAGTTCCTGTGCTTGAGTGACCATTGCAGCCCTATTAGCTATAAAGCTGAGTATCAGTCAGATTTTACACTACAACAAAACTGAGTTTTTACAGCTTCACATCAACAACATACAGTAAATGCAAGCTGTGGTTTCTCACTTTTACGACTTGCTTTTTTTTGCATGTTGTAAATAATTTCCCATCCACGACATGTCTATTGTATAGGTCATGAATGCTAATAATGATTTTTTTACAACTTGGAGGATGCTGCTGCCACAAAGAACAGCTTTGGCTCATCCACATCGGTTGCTAACAGTGGCTCATAGCAAATTACCCAACCTCAAAATCATGTACAAATTGATATTGATGCATTTGTATAGGAAAACAACCACAGCATCTCGGCCTCACAAATGCTCAACTGAACACCTCGCCTGTTGCTGTTAAAATGGGATTGCTACTGTGGGATTTGACTTGTATTGCTCTTTGGCATTGAGTTTTTGATCTTCAACATATCAAGAGTCTCGACATATTTCTGCACTCTTCTCACCTTCAAGAAAATGATGTGAAAATTGAAAATTCAGTATCTTAAATATCACTAATTTAGAACTTTTTGGATGATTTTGAAGTTGAGGACAAATTTTGATGTTTAGAAACATAGTTTTAGATGATTTGGAATGTACATACAGTTTTTGGATGTTCAAAGCTTTTGAATAGTTTTTTTGATGTTTGAAATAATATTTTGGTGGTTGATTGATACTTATATGTATATATATATATATATATATATATATATTTGTGTGTTTGTGTGTGTGTGTTTGTGAAATTTGTTTGTAATATTTTTTTAGATTATACAGAACATGTGAAATAGAACTTGCTGAATTTAAAAAATTATAAATATTCAACTTGCTGAATTTAAAAAATTATAAATATTCTACGACGAGCAAAATAGGCCGTTGTGTTAAATATTGAATGACTAGCATTGAGTGTCATGGATGTATAAGACGTGCTATTAAAAGTTTTTATGACCAGTCATGAGTTTCCATGACTGATCATAATATGACTTTACCTTGCGCGTCGTAAAATCATATCTACGGCGTGCATTTGGTGCCATAAAAACCCTTTTTTGTTGTAGTGGTTTAGGTCCAAATGCAACCCAATTATCAATTTTCCATAACCATAGCTTATGAGTCGAAGGCATGATTTTGAGAGTTTTCATGGAAAATGAGTTGAATGTTACATGAAAATCCAACCCAATTCTCAATTTTAAAGGGCTTCTTGGTAACGGTAGTGATGGTGGTGGTGGTAGGGAAGATGACGACGAAGGAGAGAGGAGGAGGGTGGCAGAAGGATTTGGGTAATTCAAGGAATGATGAGAGAGAATAAGAAAAGGTGAGTTTGCATATTTATTAGGGGTGGAAAAAAATCTTAAAACCGTTTGCACCGACCAAACTGGACTGAACCGATAGCTTTTGGTCGATTTTATTCATTACCTCAGTCTATTCGGTTCTGTTAAGAGTAAAAAACCGAATTTTGGTTTGATTTTCGGTCCATAAGATTTGAAAACCACGTGCACCGAACCGCACCAAATTAAAAGACATAAGTATTTGATCTCAGCCATCCATGGAAATACCTAGTTAATCTGAGCCATTCACACACATGTATATATTTTCTTTTTTCATCAGTGCCTCTTCTATGCCAACAAACTGTTACTCTCTTTTCTCTTTCTCTTCCTCTCATCCACCTCTGCTGGAAGCAGCCTGCTCTCACACTTCTACAATGCTATCAGCCCACTCTCTCACCACTTTACGATGAACACAACGATCTCCATGGTTGACGTCTACATCGCATCTAACCGTTGTTTGCTTCTCCATGGTTGATATCTTCCTCAAACCCTCTCTGTTTACATCAGTGCTTCTTCGTGATAGATTTGTGAACAAAAAAAAAATTGACAAATTTAAGGTATGTTTTTATAATTTTTAGGGTTCAATTTGTTTTTGTTTTCTTTTTTTATTTTTTATTTTATTTTTTTTGTTTTTTGGTTTTTTTTTTTATTTTTTTGTTGGTAAACTTGGGTTTAATTGATGTTGAAATTGGGGATTTGTGGTTGTTTCTTTAGGATCTCTAAAAACCTAATGATTCCTTGTAGCATAAATCAACGTCACCGAACTGTATCGAACCGGTAAAGTGCTTAATGGTTTGGTTTGGTATATATACATGGTCAGTCAGTTTTGGTTTGTAGTAATAGAAAACCGATATGATCGGTTGGGTGGAAAATCACAAAAAAATAGGCCAAACCGAACCGTTTTCACCCCTAATATTTATTTGAAATTTGGGGTCAAAATGTATTTTTTTTTATAACTTTTTCCGTTTCAAATGTGACGGTATGGGCAAAATTGATACGATTTCAAAAACTTTAGGAGTAAAATTGAATTATTCAAAGTCTGGGGG